ATATTCAATTGTATCTTGAGACTTGGCTTTTTCACTCAACATCATTTCTAAGATTTATCCTTGTTTATGCATAATTTTATTGTGTATAGTATTCCATTATAAAAGTATACACAATTTATCCATCCTCTTGTTGATGGACATTTGGGCTATTAGTTTTGCTGGTAAAAATATACCGCTTATGTATATCTATGTACATGTTTACTGATTTAAGAGTGTCTCTAAAATCTGTACCGAGGAGTAGAATTGCCAGGTCATCGTTATAGTTTTCATTACAATTTTAGATTCAAGGGGCACATGTTCAGGCTTATTACGTGGATTTATTGTGTGCTGCTCAGCTTTGGACTTCTAATGATCCTTTTGCTCAAATAGTGAACATAGTAACCAATAGGTATTTTTTCAAGCCTTTCTCCCCTCTCTCGCTCCCCGCTTTTTGGATCCCCAGTGTCTATTGCTTCCATCTTTATGTACATGTTTATCTAATGTTTTGCTCCCACTTAAAAGTGAGGACATGCAGTAGTATTTGGTTTTCTGTTTCTGCATTAATTCGCTTAGGATAATGGCCTCCAGCTGCATCCATGTTATTGCAAATAATATTTCATTCTTTTCCATGGTTGTGTAGTAGTCCATGGTGTGTATGTATCACATTTTTTTTTTCTTTCTTTCTTTTTTTTTTTTTGAGATGGAGTTTTGCTGTTTTCACCCAGCTGGAGTGCAATGGCATAATCTCGGCTCACTGCAACCTCTGCCTCCTGGGTTCACGTGATTCTCCTGCCTCCGCCTCCTGAGTAGCTGGGATTACAGGTGCCCGCCATCACACCCAGCTGATTTTTGTATTTTTAGTAGAGACAGGGTTTCACCATGTTGGCCAGGCTGGTTTCAAACTCCTGACCTCAGGCCACCCGCCTCGGCCTCCCAAAGTGCTGGGATTACAGGCATGAACCACCGTGCCTGCCCACCACATTTTCTTTATCCAGTCAACCACTAATGGGCACCTGGGTTGATTGTATGTCTTTGCTGTTGTGAATAGTGCTGTGATAAATACACGAGTGCAGATGTCTTTTTGGTAGAATGATTTCTTTTCCTTTGGGTATATACCCAGTAGTGCAATTGCTGGGTCAAATGGTATAATTCTAGTTTCAGTTCTTTGAGAAATCTCCAAACTGCTTTCCACAGGGGCTGAACTAATTTGCATTTCCACCAACAGTGTATAAGCATTCTCTTTTTTTCACAACCTTGCCAACATCTTTTTTTTTTTTTTTTTCCACTTTTCAGTAGCCATTCTGACTGGTGTGAGCTGATATTGTGGTTTTCATTTGCATCTCTCTGCTGACTAATGATAGAAGTTTTTCATGTTTGTTGGCTGCTCGTGTGTCTTCTGAGAAGTGTCTGTTCATGTCCATTGCCCACTTTTTAATGTAGTTATTTTCTTGCTGATTTAAGTTCCTTACAGATTCTGGATATTAGTCCTTGGTCAGATGTGTAGTGTGCAAATATTTGCTCCCATTCTGTAGGTTGTCTGTTTAATCTGTTGATAGTTTCTTTTGCTATGCAGAAGCTCTTTGGTTTAGTTGGGTCTCAGTTGTCAACTTTTGTTCTTGTTGCATTTGCTTTAGAGGATGTAGTCATAAATTCTTTGCCTAGGCCAATATTTAGAAGAGTATTTTCTAGGTTTTCTTCTAGGCTTTTTATAGCTTGAGGTCTTTCAGTTAAGTCTTTAATTCATCTTAATTTTTGTGTATTGTCAGAAGTAGGTGTCCAGCTTCATTCTTCTGCATATGGTTAGTTTTCCCAGCACTATTTATTGAATAGGGTATACTTTCCCTATTATTTATTTTGTCAACTTTGTTGAAGATCAATTGGTTGTAGGTGTGCAGCAGCTTTATTTCAGGGGTCCTTACTCTGCTCCATTGGTCTATTGTGTCTATTTTTGTACCAGTACCATGCTGGTTTGGTTACTGTAGCCTTGTGGTATAGTTTGAAGTCAGGTAATGTGATACCTTCCACTTTATTCTTTTTGCTTTGTTCCGTATGAATTTTAGAATGATTTTTTCTAATTTTGTCAAAAGTGACATTTGTAATTTGATAGGAATAGTGTTGAATCTATATATTGCTTTGGGCAATATTGACATTTTAATGATATTCATTCTTCCAATGCATGAACACTGATTGGTTTTCCATTTGTTTGTGTCACCTATGATTTCTTTCAGCAGTATTTCAGCAGTCCTAGTTTTGGTTTTTTGTTTTTTTGGTTTTTTTTTTGGTGACTATTGTAAATGAGATTATATTCTTGATTTGGTTCTCAGCTTCAATGTTACTGGTATATAGAAATGCTGCTGATTGTTGTACATTGATTTTGCATCTTGAGACTTTGCTTAAGTCATTTATGAGGTCTGGGAGTCTTTTGGTGGAATCGTTAGGGTTTTCTAGGTACAGAATCATCATCAACACAGAGAAAATAGGACTTCCCTTTTTCCTACTTGGGTGCCTTTTATTTCTTTCTCTTGCCTGACTGCTCTGGCTAGGACTTCCTTAATTTTCAGTTTTAAAATATAATGCCACATTTGCCTCCCAAAGTTATTGTAATATTTTTACACTCCTACAAGCATTGTATAAGGGTTATTTGTGTTCCATATCCTGGCCAGCACTTAGGAGTCAGACTTCAATTTTTGTCAGTTAAAGGATATAAAAGAGCATTTCATTGTAGGTTTCAATTGTTGCCCTGATTATTGATGTTGTGCATCTTCATGTTTACTATGTTTCCCCTTCTTGTAAAAACCCTGTTTTTATCCTTTTTGTTTTCGGCGGGGGGGGGGGTCAATTGTCTTTTTATATTTATTCATGGAAGCTCTTTATGTATTAAGGATGCTAATTGTGTTAGTTATCTTTTACTGTGTAACATAGCTGGCTGATTTTGGCTCAGGGTTTCTCATGAGGTCGCAGTCCAACTGCTGGCTGAGGTTGTAGTCACCTCAAGGCTTTGACTGGGGCTGGAGAGTCCACTTCCAAGATTATCCTTGCTGGCTGTTGGCCAGAGGCTACAGTTCCTTGCCATGAGGACCTCTCCATAGGGATACTCACAAGGTGGCATCTTGCTTTCCCCAGAGTGAGTGATCCAAGACTCAAGACAGAAGCTACAGTCTTCTCATAACCTATCTCAGATGCAACATACCATTACTTCTGCCCTGTGTGCTTGGTTGCACAAAGCCTGGTATAATGTGGGAAGGGACAACACAGAGTGTGAGCACCAGGAGGCAGAGAACACTGGGGGCCATCTTGGAGGCTGCCTACCATACTAATCTGTTGTCCATTTTATGTGTTGCCAATATTTCTGATTTTTCAGGTTCTCTATGTTGTCTTTTGAATGAAAGTTCTTTTTAATGCAGATTGTTATTTTATAATTAATGCTTTTTCTAACTTAAGAAATACTTGATTCAAAGTAAAATATATTTTATTATAAAAGTATTACGATTTTGCCTTTCACATGTAGGTTCTTAACTCATCCAAATTTTATTTTTGTGTATGACAAGAGGTGAGAGACCATTTTCCCCCTTTCATTTGCTTAACCAATTGTTCAAGAATTAAAGTCATCCTTTCCCTTGCTGATCAACAGTATCACTCTGTCATGTTAAATTTCTGATGATACCTTAATTACTGTAGCTGAATTATGAGCTTTCATATCTGGTAGGCACCACGAACCGGTGACCGCTGTAAATAAATTTCTTGGTTTTGGATTTTGTAATTTTTACTCCAGACCTGTATGAGGACAGGCGTGTGGTTGCAGATCCTCACTGAAGATTATAGTCATTATAATTATTTTCTTCCTGGAGCTGTATGTGAAGACAGTCATGTTTCCTGGCAACCTCCCTTTGCTGGCAGATGAATGTTTTCTATTCCATTAACAGGGACCCTTTAAGGAGTCCTGCTTAATGGAGGCATTTTAAGTTCCCCCAAGACAGACACTCTCATTCATTGAGCTGACGTTACTCTTTGCCTCTAGGTCTGTCCCGGCTCCTAAGTTCTCATAAGGAGTTGATTCAAATTTGCTGTACCTTTTTCAGGTGCGGCGGGGGGAGAAGTTTGTTCCTTGGGGATTTCTATCAAGGTTGATCATACACTAAAAGGTATGTTTATTAAAATGTATTCAGGATTTAGTTGTTATGGGTGAGAGGGCTAAAAGCATCTGAACCACCATACTGCCGGAAGTAGAAATGTGCTTTGGTATGTTTCAACAAAAAATAACATATTATGGCACCTTTTAAAAAAATGTGGCACATTTTTAAAAACCATCACAGGGCAATAGTTAAGTTACAGTGTAACTTCTGTCACCAATAAATCATAGTTTTTAAAGGCTATTTAACATCGTGGAGAAATTTTCACAGCCAGTTTAAGGCGAATATAAAAGTTGGTATGGTCCTAATACTATGTAAAAGAGAAGGAAAAACAGATTATTAAATGTTTGACAGTTGGTGGCAGAGTGACAGGATATGTTAAAGTCTTACATTCCAAATTCTGTACAATAGGGAAAGTTGAGAGGGATATTGATAAACTAGAAAGAAAGTAGAAAGTATCCCCCTTGCTTAATGAGAAACCTAGAAAGCCAACCTAGGAAACACATTGTTGTACTTATCAGCTAGAGGAAAAGGTAACAGTTGATTACTCTGAAATATGTGAAGAGATGTTCTGTTTATAACATCTGGGTGCCCAGTTTGTACAGGCTGCTATGCTGCACATGGAATTCAATGAGGTAAACTTGGCCTAACTACACCTGCTAGCAAGTACCACAGCTTGAGTCTGAACCCAGGTCCTGTGCAGCTGTTTCTACCTTGTATCACTATCACTCTGTCTCCTAATCCAGGAATATTAAATTTTTTGTACCACTTTCATTCATTTTGGTTTACCATCAGGATATGGTGCCTAGGGAAGAGCATGCCTGAGGTGGCTAAGAGGTAGAATTACTGTACCAAGATGAATTGTTTAATATGAAAGAGACTGGATACAACTGTTTCACAAAAAGATATATTTTCATTCATGAGTATTTACATTTTTCGTATTTGTTTAAAGAATATCATATAACTGATACCTTCTGAAATGGTTCAGGCTTTTAAACTCTTCTATTTACACTTATCTGACATGGAATTAAAACTAAAATGGTCAAATACCATGATAATAGAAAGCAACCAGCCAACATAGCTAGGTCTTCTCTTAAATTTGCTGATCAACATTAGCAGTAGTTATCTTAATAATAAATTATTCATTTAAAAATCAGTAGTAATTTTAGACAATTCATAAATAAGTGTGCTCTGTGCAATTTACACGTTTAATATCCTGTGGATACTAAAAGCTTGTATATTGTCAGATTTGCACATTATTACTTTATCAAATAGTAAGCTTTCCCAAAGATGAAGCTGGGGAAACTTGAAAAGACATTCTAAAGGTTCTCTGGAGAGTTATCAAAGCTCTGCCTGCTTTACAGGAGGAGGTTCCAATTTGCGTGAGAGGGCCGTTAAAATCTGGTTGAATTTCTCGTATCTCTCTGCCTGATTGACTTGTGCGCCTTTGCTGCCCCATAGCAATCGCATTTGAAATTCAGTCTTGCAGATTTCATTCATTTCTTCATCTGGTTGAAAACCTAATCAAAACAAAACAAACAGAAAGTTACTTCAGTTCTGTCTAAGTAGACTGAAAGCTTGCTTAAAGTAGAATCAAAATGAACTACTTCTCTCTCTCAGAACTTTAAAAAATGTCCCCAAAGAAAAATATAGGATCTATTCTGTATAAGGGAGAGCAGAGTCCCACCCTGCAGAACGTGAGCACCTTCAGAGAAGAAATAACAGGTCAACTCATTAAAAACAATAGCGTGAAACTGGTTTGTACAGACCACCGTGGGAAGTAGTGCTGTGGGAAGGAGGGTTCATGGTACCTAGGAGTTTGTTACTTGTTTTTACCAACTTTACGGATGTACAGTTTACATGTCATATGATTCACCTATTTTTGGCTGTGCAGTTTGATTTATGACGGTAAGTCTATATAAACCATCACTACCAGTCTTAGAACACTTACATCACCTTAGTACCTCTTTGCTGTCAATTCCTGTTCCTACTGCAGACCTCAGTCAACCACTGATCTGCTTTCTGTTGCTACTGTTTTGCCTTTTCTAGGAATTTGGGATAAATGGAATCATCCACTATGGACTTTTTAATGTGTGACTTCTTTCACTTAGCATGATGTTTTTGAGATTATTCCATATGTTGCATGTTAATAATTCATTTTTACTGATCAGTATTCAGTTTTATGGACATGCCATATTTTGTTTATCCATTCACCAATTGATGACATTTGGATTGTTTCAGTTTTCTGGCTGCTATGAGTAACTGATTGTGAACATTTGTGTACAAATCTTGTGTGGACATGTGTTTTCATTTCTCTAGGAAAGGAATTATTGGGTCATAATGGTAAGTATATGTTAACTTTTTTTTTTTTTTTTTTTTTTGAGACAGAGTTTTGTTGCTCAGGCTGAAGTGTAATGGCATGATCTCAGCTCACTGCAACCTCTGCCTCCCGGGTTCAAATGATTCTCCTGCCTCTCAGCCTCCCGAATAGCTGGGATTACAGGCATGCTCCACCATGCCCGGCTAATTTTGTATTTTTAGTAGAGACAGGGTTTCTCCATGTTGGTCAGGCTGGTCTTGAGCTCCCGACCTCAGGTTATCTGGCCACCTTGGCCTCCCAAAGTGCTGGGAATACAGGCGTGAGCCACCGTGCCCAGCCCCCAGATGGTGACTTCTACTCATTCAGTTAACATGCTTTGAGCCCCTCCCCATTCACCTGGTCTGGTCTATGCTGATGAGCAAATGTCTGCCTTTCCTGGGTTCACTGTCACTTACAGCAATGGGAACTTGCTATGTAAATCTACATTAGAATCAACTGAAAAATTCCATCAGCGACCTTTAAAGTGATTTAGAGCTGTAGAACAGCTTATGGCACACTTTTCTAAAAACACAGCCTGATGTACTGGCTTATGCAACATCCATGGTAGTGTATTCATTGGCTTTGTCTAAGTAGGCACTCTGATATTTGTTGACTTGTTTTTATTGTTTGAGTAACATACAGCCAATCCTGGAGAACTTTTTGAGGAAGAAAATGAAACAGGTACGTGGTACTTATAACCACAGCAAATGACTGAGTCCCACATTCTGGTTCTGAGGCAGCTAGCTCCCTTTTAGAATTAAATGAATGGAGTCTCCTGCCCCCACGTAGTTCTTAACCTTGTGACTCAAACTATGGGTCCTTGAAGAATTTTTGAAAATTATATAGTAATGGAAAATAGTCATCCCCGATGACTGCCTTGGCAAAGCCCTCCTTGCTGAATGGTCTTTCTGCCATCACACCTTCAGCCCTCCAGCCTTCCTCCACACAGACACCAGAGTAATTTACTTTAAAACAGAAATCTGACCATGTTGCACCCTCCCATGGTTAAACCCTTCACGGGCTGTTCTTCAGCCATGGTCTATGTGGAAGGCCCTTCCCAGCTGCACCTCCCTCGGTAGCCTAGTTGGCCATTCCTTAGGTCATACCTTGTACAAATCTAAACCCAGGTACTTGTGGATCCCAGTTTTCACCAAGCTCTCTCAGTGGCTTTGCTTGGGTTGTGCCGTCTTGAGTGGAATTCCCAGCCTGCTTGCTGGTATCTACTTTGTCCTTTAACAATCAATGCAGTGTTTTCTGGGAAGCTGTCACCAGGTGCTTCCTCTTTCCTAGCATCTCTGACCAAATCAGTCCCTTCCCCTAAGTGCTCCCACAGTACACACTGCACTTATCGCTGCATGCTGAGATACCTGCTTACATTCCTCAGGACATCCAGTTAGCGTGGTGCCGCGCACATGCCGCATCTGTGATAAATGCCGGCCGGGCTGACTGAGGAGGCTGCTTTCTGTCACCATAGCACTTATAAGAAAGATACGTTTACACATTGTAGAAGTGCCCCACACTTTCCAGGATGTGTCTGATGATAAGAGCAGGGGAGCTCACTTCACAGGAATGCAGATAAATGAGGTCTGAATAAAACTCCACCTCCTCATCTTGGCACATCACCTTTTCTAATCTCACCTATTAGAGGTACTATTAATAAGTGGTAGGCAAGTTGGCCAATTCTTGCTCTGTTGCTCAGCACCCAGGCTGGAGTGCGGTGGTGCAATCTCGGCTCACTGCAACCTCCACCTCCTGGGTTCAAGTGATTCTCCTGCCTCAGCCTCCTGGGTAGCTAGGATTACAGGCATGCACCACCACGCCCAGCTAATTTTTGTATTTCTAGTAGAGACAGGGTTTCATCATTTGGGCCAAGCTGGTCGTGAACTCCTGACTTCAAGTGATCCACCTGCCTCAGCCTCCCAGAGTACTGGGATTACAGGCGTGAACCACCGCGCCCGGCCCCAATTCTTTCTTGACCCCTTCTCTCTGTTTATTCTATGCCATTGAACAAAAGGAACACTTCAAGAAGAAAGGAGAAAAGGGCACTTGAGTCATTCTGGAATTAAGAGGAAGTAATAACCAGCCATGTAGGAAAGGGAAGTCCATTCTTTAATCCTTCCTCTTTAGTCTTTTTCTAAGTGAAGTCAGCCATGCTCTTCCATTCCTTCATTTCAGTTACTATACAGTGTTAGAGAAAAACTTACAAAAACCACCTCTCACCTGCCAGGATCCTCTCAGCATTTATCCGGTAGCTGTCCGTGGCCTCGGCCATCAATCGTGCTGTTGCCAAATGGTTCAGCATGATTTCACAGCTCTGGTCATTTTTTTCCCACATGTCGGTTCCTTCAAAAATGACAGCCTGGCGCTCCATTAAGGTCACAAGGGGCATCAGCAGTGGGACTGATACATTATTTGGGGGAACACATGTGGACTCTGAAGAATAAGGAGTAGATGTTTTCCGAAGTTAAGCACAGAATGAGGTGACTCAGCCCTTGTCTTGTTATAGCAACTGCAGCCTTCTACAAGCAATGCTGTCATCTGATAAAAGCCCTGATGAGCCATCCACAGTGCTGCAGATAACTCAGGGCCTCATAACATGCCCTGTGTACTTGTACTCCACTCCCCAGCAGGGTAGCCCCATGCTTGCTCTGCCCACGTGCTCACCTCTGCCTTCATGCAGGATTTTGCTGAAGGGCTTCAGCTGTTTCTCATAGAGAATGGCAGTTTGGGTGTACTGGTGCCGCAGAGCAGTCCACGTCTTTTCTAACCTTGTGATCTGGAAGAAAGGTAGTGTTCTGGGAAACGTTCTTTTTAAAATTACCTTTTTGTGGCTGGGCATGGTGGCTCATGCCTGTAATCCCAGCACTTTGGGAGGCTGAGGCGAGTGGATCGCTTGAGGTCAGGAGTTCAAGGCCAGTCTGGCCAACATGGTGAAACCCTGTCTCTACTCAAAACACAAAAATTAGCTGGGCATGGTGGCGTGTACCTGTAGTCCTAGCTACTCGGGAGGTTGAGGCGGGAGAATCGCTTGAACCCGGGAGGCGAAGGTTGCAATGAGCCAAGATCGTGCCACTGCACTCCACCCTAGGTGACAGAGTGAGACCCCGTCTCAAAAAAATAAATAAAATAAAATTACCTTTTTGCTTAAATTTTGGAACAGGTGATAAGATACACATGGTAAAAATGTCAAAGTGGCTGAAAGCAGGGTAGAGAGGAAAAGTAATCCCCCATCCTCCCCATCTGCATTGCTGTTAGCCCATCCCAGAGATGAAAACTCTCCAACTGCCTGTGCGTGTGTGCTTCACATACACCTGGCCTGCTGGCCAGTCGACTGTCAAAATTCAAGGCAGTATTGGATGAGAGGAAATAAACACGATGCAAAATAAAGCACCTGAATGAAAAATTGTAACTCTTGCTATAATAGAAATCAGCATTATCAGGAAAATATGGCAGAATTGATAAGTTGCTTATTTTAAATATGGATCCTAGAAAATTCCATTGTACCTGAAGAATTCTGAAAGCTCTTGAAATAAAACTGGAATTGACCTCCCCAAAATTCCTGTCTATATGCACACCCCTTTTAAAAATAAATACATGCATATTATACTACATAAACCATACCTATTCCTTGCCTCAAAAGCATTCAGTATAAGTACATATAGAACAGCCTTATTTTGTTAAATTTCTGCATAATAGTCCACTGTATGGATAGCTATAGTTTAACTAGTCTCTTAAAGAGTTTTATGACTTTTTTTTCTTTGAGACAGGGTCTCACTCTGTTGCCCAGGCTGGGGTGCAGTGATGCGATCACAGCTCACTGTAGCCTCAACCTCCCAGGCCCAGTGATCCTCCCACCTCAGCCTCCTGAGTAGCTGGGACAACAGGCATGAGACACCACGCCTGCTACTCATTTCTTTTCTTCTGCAGGTAACTCAGGGCCTAATTTTCCTCTGGAACAATTTAGTCAGCAGCAGCATATTACCACTGACTCTGACTGTCCTGAGATAAATGGTCCCCAAGTCATACCCTAAAACCAGCAAGGCTGTGTTAAGTTTTCTACATGAAACAAGGCCAGGGCATTAGTATTTAGGGAATAAGAGCCAACTTTGTGTCAAATATTTGAAGAATTTCATTTAATCTTCACAATGCCCTTTAAGACAGGTATTTTGGCTTCGTTTTACAGATCAGAAAACAGAAGCGATTAGGTAACTGCCCAAGGCTTCCCAGCCGGTATGTGGTAGAGCTGAGACTCATTTACTTGGCCTTGAAGAGCTCCTGTATCCAAAAGGAAGGTGAGTAGGCTCAGCACCAGCAGATGTGCTGTGAAGAAAAGGCTGTGGCTGGCCTTCCTCCTGCTGCCCACCATGCTGCCCTTCCTTCTGTAGACCCCTGCTCCCTACCCACTCCCTGAGGCATTGCCTTTCTGAAAGAAGCCTCTGGGTCTGGGCTAGGCCCGTCTCCTGGACGTACTCTCTTGACACTAGAAGCTGAGAAGAGAAGGTGGCACATGTGGCTATAGTGTAAGGGCTGGGTTGGATGGTAACATACAAAGTAATGTGACTCTTTTTTTGGGCTTTCCCTGGGTATGCCACTTCCTCCTAGGCCATTGAATGCTCCGGAGGACTATGTCCTGTCACTGCTGATGTGCTCCAGAAGAGAAAGGCTGACACTGTTAAAAGGCAGGGAGCCACCTACAAAGCATGGTAATGTGGTTGGGGACAAGTCCCTAACCGCTGAGTTTGATGTCATGGATGACAACCATGTGATCCCACAAAATATCCCCTTTACCAGTCTCAGGGGAAGCTCTGGGCTGGAAGGCTTTACCCACAGCCTGGCCTGTTGGCTCTGCTGTCAAAATTCTAGGCAGTTTTAGATGACAGGAAATAAACATAATGCACATTAAAATACCTGAATGAAAAAATGATAACCCCTGTTATAGTAGAAATAGGTATATCATGAAAATCTGGCAGAACTTAATGGACTGCTTATTTCAAATACCAATCCTACAAAATTCCAGGCTACCTGAAGAATTTTGAAAGCTTCTGAAATATAATTAGAATTGACCCCCCAAAAATTCCCGAAGAAGGCACTAAGTTGTTCAACCTTTTATTTTTAAGGTGACCTTGCTTTAATGCAAGTAAATTCTATTCCTGCCATGATCTGACTTGCGGGACATGTGATTGTGGCTGTTTCCCAGTAGCAATGATGGAATTTCAATGAGCACCTGGCAGGATTTCGGATATAGCCTGTGGCTATGAAACAGCCAAGCCGAGTGACCAGCGGTTTTGGTGTTACTAGAAGGTTTTGCTGGCTGGATTGTAAACTCATACTCAAGTCCTCCAAGCACCCAGGGCTTGGGAGAACAGAAGTGGGAGTGCTGATCCTAAGCGATAAAGATGGCAGCATGACTTTCCTCTATGAGGCCTGCTTGACTTCAGATACAGATATTCATGTTTGACACTCATCCTAAAAAACCCCTGGCACAGCAGATAAATTCAAATGCCCAATTTCAGAAACGGTAATTAGGGAGTTCTATGGCAGATGGACCAGGAATCTGAACTTTTTAATAGGACAGTCTGTTTTAGGTGACCTGAACTAAACTATTGTAAGGATTCTCTGATAGAAGCTCTGCCAGTGTCTCATTTCCCAAGGATTATACTAAACTGCCCACACACCCGGCGACCCAGATGGAGGCAGTCTCTTTCTTATACGACACACTTTAGCCAGATGTCTCATCCTAATTGGTTCTCCATGAATCACTACTGTTCATGAGGATAACACTTGCCACTGTACATCAAAGAGAAAGCATGGACTGTCAGCAATTATCTACTACTTTAAAAATAGACCCCAGAGACTGGGTGTGGTGGCTCACGCCTGTAATCCCAGCACTTTGGGAGGCTGAGGTGGGTGGATCACCTGAGGTCAGGAGTTTGAGACCAGCCTGGCCAACATAGCAAAACCCTCTCTCTACTAAACATACAAAAATTAGCGACGTATGGTAGCCCATGCCTGTTATCCCAGCTACTCAGGAGGCTGAGGCAGGAGAATCACTTGAACCCGGGAGACAGAGGTTGCAATGAGCCAAGATCATGCCATTGCACTGCAGCCTGGACAATAGAGTGAGACTCCATTTCAAAAAAAAAAAAAAAAGACCCCAGTCCAGGCACAGTGGCTCATGCCTGTAATTCCAGCACTTTGGGAGGCTGAGGCGGGCAGATCATTTGAAGTCAGGTGTTCGAGGCCAACATGGTGAAACCCTGTCCCTACTAAAAATACAAAAATTAGCTGGGTGTGGTGGTGCATACCTATAGTCCCAGCTACTTGAGGCTGAGGCATGAGAATCACTTAAGCCTGGGAGGCGGAGGTTGCAGTGAGCTGAGATAGAGCCACTGCACTCTAGCCTAGGTGGCAGAGTGAGATTCTGTCTCAAAAAAGAAAAAAAAAAAAAAGACCCCAAACACTTAGGACACTGTCCCCTAAATGAAGCAGCTTTCACTAAGATTCAATTTACTTTTGAGATTGACTAATATAGTCTGATTTGCCAAACATGGCATGCAGATCTCTTTACAGAACATTAAGTACACATAAAGTAATCGGAAATTTACCTGTGGCATTTCCAGGGCTTTCATGAGAGCTGAGAAGGAATAGAGGTCCCCCATGGAATCCTTCAGTTCCACTGCCACCTGGATGACCTTACTCAGAGTGGCTGCTCGGTCCTCCAAAGTGCCCGTGCAGCCCAGAATGTACACTGCAATGCCGATGGCCATCGTGCTGTGTCTGAAAGCGAGGAGATCAGTGGTCAGGTTCAGGGCCAATGAGACTAGGAGAAAACCAAACCAAATCAGCCAAGAGCAGGGCTGTTTTTGTGCCATTTGCTGCCATTGCTCTAAAATGTGCTGGCAGCACAGTTTAGATGGCCAATCTCAACAGAGAACGCCCCTTAGCAGGCTGACTGTGGAGGGCCAAACTAGGCCACAGAGGGTACACTTTCAGTCAGAAAGCAAGATGTCCCCGGACAGGGCCATGTTCAACCCTGGACCTGGGGGCACAAAGAGGGAGCTCCTGAGGCAAAGCTGTTCAACAGTTGCATGTGGCTGCTAGTACCCTGTACCATGAGAGGTCCGTGGAGACAGCAGGTCCCCCAACACGCTCTGAGAATCTCTCCTCAGGGAAGCCCAGGGCCACCTCCACTGGGCCCCCTGGACTTGGGGATGGAAGGGACAGGAAAATGAGAGGACATTCTTGATCCAGGATAATAACATGGCTATCAGAACAAAGGCAGGAAAGAGGAGGTAAGAATGGTGTTATCCAGCCCCACTCCAGAGGCCAGGAAGTGAACGGGGAAGAGGGTAAAGATTGATGGGCTGGAATGTGCCTGTAAGGCCAGACCCTAATAAAATCAAAATCTCATTTTCCCCAACAATCCTCCCTTTTCTCATCCTAAACTACACAGGTCAACCTCAGAGACCCAAAACAGGAAGCAGGGTGATCTTTCCTCCACATGACAACAGGACTAATATGAATGGGGTCAGTCCGCTGCAAAAGCATAGACTGTGATCCCCTTTCCTTCCCACTGTAAATCAGGACCCAGGAGTTAACTGCTTTAGACCAGAATTGCCTCAGTTTCTTCCAGGCTGTGGTACAAGTGCTGGAGGCAAAGCCCCAATGTATAGCTAGAGTTACTAAAATACAGCATGCATTTGAACTGCAGGGCCACTCTGTCCTGAATGTTCAGAGCTTGGGATGTTACTCCACGCTGTGCTCTCTGTGTGTCCAGGTGTGTTGGTTTGTCTCTTGCTGTCCTTGAGCAAAGGGCAGCAGGGATTCACTGAGTGCTTAGCATCACTGAGTTCTCTAATGTTTGTTGAATAGGTAATGAGCTCTGCCTCCAAGTGTGTTTGCACACATATGCATGTATGGGGCTCACTTGCAGTGTAAGCTTAGGCTGGTACCTAACTGCTCCACCCCTCAGGTTCTTCATCTGTAAAATGGGAGCAAGGGTTGTGAGAAAGAGAGACTGTGTATGGGAGTGAAAATAATTAAAGTGAGCCAGGTCTCAGGCCTGTAATCCCAGCACTTTGGGAGGCCGAGGCAGGCAGAATGCTTGAGCCCAGGAGTCCGAGACCAGCCTTGGCAACATGGGTGAAACCCCATCTCTACTAAAAATACAAAAATTAGCCAGGCGTGGTGGCACATGCCTGTAGTTGCAGCTACTCGAGTGGCTGAGGAATGAGAATGGCTTGAACCCAGGAGGCGGAGGTTGTAGTGAGCAGAGATCGGGCCACGGCACTCCCGCCTGGGTAACTAGAGAGACTATCTCAAAACAAAAAGAATAATAACGAAAGTGCCTGGCACTGGCAGGCGCCTAATAAATAGCAGTTGTTACTAGCGCTGTCTCTGCATGCCTCTCCCTCTGTGTCTTGGTCCATTTTGCCTCTTTGTCTCCGTCTCTTTCCTCTTTTCTCCATTTATCTCCTTTTCCGGATTTGTCTTTCTCAATTAATGGATCCAAACATAGCCCTAAAATATATTTTTATTATTTGTTTTTTTCCGAGACAGGGTTTTGCTCTGTTGCCCAGGCTGGAGTGCAGTGGTGTGATCACGGCTCACTGCAGCCTTGACCTCCCTAGCTCAAGGGATCCTCCTGCCTCAGCCTCTCAAGTAGCTGGGACCACAGGCATATGCCACCATGCCCAGCTAATTTTTGTGTTTTCTGTAGAAACAGGGTTTTGCCATGTTGCCTGGCTGGTCTCGAATTCCTGGGCTCAAGTGATCTACCTCCCTTGGCCTCCCAAAGTGCTGGGATTATAGGCATGAGTCACCATGCCCAGCTGTTATCTGATACATTTTTGGAAGAGTGTTGTTATCCATTTGCAAAATATTAACATTGACAGAACATTTTAGATGTTGCTTTTAACTATAAACTCACTTCCCATGCTGCATTCCATTGATTCTTTATTCAGTGTTTTCTCCCCCTATGTTTTAATGGCCCTCTAGTGTTACATCAATGGTTAACTGAATGGTTATATCCATTCACTCAACCAACATTTGCCTGAAACCTCCTGGATACACCGACTGTGGGAAAAACAACTCGGGCTGGCAAATCTGCAGCAAAAGCTCCTGTGGTTGGCAAGAGGAGGCATTCAGATGTCACATGAAGGACACTTCCAGAGCAGTATGCCTGGAATGGGTGAGGTGGTAAATTAAAAATAAAGGGTGGTTTTGTATTTGATTCTCAAATGCAAGAAGGTGATGTCATGTGACACATCAGGACCTCTATAACCTTGGCCTTTATTTAATAAACACATTGTAATTAATAAAACTACTCCCCAGGCTCTTAAAAGAAGATCCCACAGGTCACAAGAAACAAGCTAAGAAGCAAGACCCCAGGCAAGAGGCAGTCAGGAGAAAAGAGAAATAAAGTAGAAAGTCAGAAAACAGCCAAGAGAGAAGCCCCAAACAAACCTGTTGCCCTCAGCCTGTCCCAGCACCCTGACTGATACTAAGAAAACAGGGCTCAGATTCATGAGGCCTGGAAGCTGGGGGGTTTCAGGCTGAAATGTCTCATGGAAGAAACGGCCAAGTGTGGTGGCACAGCTCCCCTCTGCTGATAGAACGGAAGCTAGCGGAGCTGGGAGGCCAGGCCCCTGGGGCAGGAGGGAAAAAGGGGACACCCGGAGAGAGGCTGGAACCTAGAAAAGTCTCAGGAAGAGCAGGGAAATTCAGAAGTGGGATCTAGAATTCCCCAAAGGCCTAAGCAATGGGCATTCCCGAACAAAGTCCGCATGGCCCCACTTCTTCACCTCCGTCCTCCCACACGGCTGCAATTCAGCGTTCTCGGTAGTTTCCATGGGATGTACCACGGCTGCGGACCAAAACAGCAGCAGCATGGGAGTCATCTTATCTGCTGTACAGCCGAGGAAACTCCAACGCAGCGACATCCACCCCCCCAGAGGTGGCTCTTTACCCTGAGAACAGTAAATTCTAACTAAAAAAAAGTCATCCTTCAATCATCAGTCACATTGCAGGTGCCCGAGAGTGATGTGTGGGGCTGGTGGCTACTGTAATGGTCAGTGCAGGACGTGTCTGTTACCACAGAAAGCTGTCTGGACAGCGCTGTGATCTGGAACTTCATGGAAAGCCATGGGCAGTCAGTCATGGCAACTAGGACATGGGCTGGACAGACAGAAAACTTAACAAGACAGTCCTGCCCAAATCAACTTTAAAAAAATGTGTCAAAAAGGCCAGCTTTTGTGGTAATACGGACATCTAGTCTAGTGCTTTTCTTAAAAACATACCTCATTGTTGGTGTCTTTCTAATTCCTAAACACTCCATTTCAATGGACACCCAGGGCCCCGGCTTTTCATGAGAAGAGGGGAGGGATGCCTCGGAGGCCCCGGGCCAGTGCCGTCATCCCCGACCTCTGACCCTATTTGTCCACCCCTCAAAGAAAACACTGTCTAGACTCTGCTCTTCCCAGCCTTTCCCACAAACTCCTCCTGATTCCTCAAGCAATCTTAACTCCCAAAGACACAAAGGCGCAGCTTGCTGGGCAGGAGACTCCACCGTGCTGGGGCCCCAGCTCTGCCCCAGGCTGCAGGATCTGTGACTCCTGCTCGCACAGGCCAGTTGAGTCACTGGCTTCGGGCCCTCTGTTCTCTCCATCCACGCCTCCAGGAGCAGGGACAGGAACACATTTTTTGTTCCTGAGTTGTGCTGTCTCTGTGCAACCCCAGGGTTCTCAAGCTCAGGCTTCTGGGAAGAGTCGCTGTAGGCCATGCGCCCTGAAGCGCTGTTACCCCAGGGCTAGGCTGGTGCTGAGCCTGTCCCTGTTCTAAAACCTGCTGCTCTGATGCCTGCAAGGAGCTGGGAGGGTCGGAAGTGCAGAGGACAGCACTGCTCACCTTTCAATGATGTCCAGGCGCAGCTGGTGTCCGTGAGGCAAGGTAATGAGTTCCAGGCCTGAGCTCACCCCCATGTTCCTCCTCATCTCTTCAGAGACTTCAAGTATCCTAGCAACCTGTCAAGAGCCAAAGGTGAAATACACTGGATCAGGAAGTGGGCTTGCCTGATCACGAATTCCGCATATGAGAGGAAACACACTGTACTAGGATGGCGTGGACACACTTTATGTGTTGCATTTCTTTATAAGCAACCACTGAGACTGCTGTTCTTATATGATGTTTAGGGTGTTTTAATACACATAGTAGAGTATAAAACTTAGGGGGAAAAGAAAGACTGGTGGGAGATGCCGACACCACTCTGCAGATCCACAGATTTGTTAAGTGTTTCTGCCCAGCCAGAGAACAGTTTAGTTCTCTAAGCTTTTGTCTGACACAGGCCGGATCCTGCTGTGACGTTTTGCTGCCAACAGCAGGGCTGCATGTGTTCAGAGCCGACCGATCCCCTGCAGTGGAAAAGCAGAATCTCATCCAAGAGCCTCTCTGCTGTGGGCTTTGCCATTCATGTTCTCACTTAACAGCCACAGCTGGCTGCTATTACCCTTAATTACGCTTCTCCTGGGCTCAGTAAATGCTCTATACGTCTGGAAACTATTAAAAATGTGTACCGTGATTGGAAACCTGAGATCTCAAACACACTTCTTTCTCCTGAGAGGCTTTTCTTAAAATCTTTGTCCCAGACAGCTCTCAACCCATCGCCATTCTAGTATGTAATCTCAGTTTATTAGAATCAGGTATTAGTTATTACAATGTCACGAAGAAGAGTTACAACCGAGCCAGTGTGTCTCTAAAATGGGGCCAACAGGCCAGGCACGGTGGCTTATGCCTGTAATCCCAGTGCTTCGGGAGGCCGAGGTGGGGGGATTGCTTGAGGACAGGAGTTTGAGACCAGCTGAGCAACATAGCGAGACCCCATCTTTACAAAAAATTAAGATTTAGCCAGGCATGGTGGTGTGCGCCTGCAGTCCTAGCTACTTGGGACACTAAGACAGGAGGATCACTTAGCACAGGAGTTTGAGGTTACAGTGAGCTATGATCATGCCACTGCACTTCAGCCTGGGTGACAGAGCAAGACACTGTCTAAAAACAAAAGAAAAATTAAATGGCGGCTAATGATACCTCACAGCACAGTGATGTACTAAGAGTGGAACTAACAGCTGCAACAACAAGTCTAGCCACCTGAACACACGGCAGGCATAGGACGGCTCCTCTCCTTGATCTGGTACACCTGTCCTCAACCTTAATTACCCCAAGCTATCGAAACACATCTGGACATTTAGGTGGTATTACTAACCCTGCCCTATAACTTCTGAGGCTGAACTACTGTCAACCCTGAGGGGATGACCCTGTGGATGAGCTCTCCAGTGGCAGACGCCAGGACAGGATGCGGAATTCCTACTGTGCTCCTACCTGTGCTCTCTGGGCCTCAGTTTCCCCTTTTCTAACATAACTGCTAAATTCACCTTTCTCAAGGACTCTGCAAAGGATTCAGATAACTTTAGAACTCCCAAAAGCTACCTGAAAATACAAGTTGTGAATCATCAGCCATGTGGAAAGGGGAAGAATTCTGGCCAGATCTTGGGAAACCGATTTACACCTTGACCTTGGCAAGGCAGCCCAGACGCATGCCATGCACACTTCCTCGCTTATTTAGACAGCTGCCCTCTGGTAGACGTCCCAAACGCTGTACTTCTGAGGGGTGTCTCCCACGCTCTGGGTGGCGAGATTGAAAGGCCTGTGATTGATTCAGTTTTGCTCTAGAAAACCTGGCAGACAGGCGGCGGCCCCTGCTCTCCAGCCTGCGTTTCTTCAGCATATATATGCCATGCCTAGGTCACTTCCCTGTAGCCACACCTGCTTGCCTGAGGGCCGAGGGGATCCCAAGCTCATACCGCAGGGCCTGGATTAGGTTCCCTGACAAATGCCCAAGGTTGTGCAGCTCACAGACACAAAGGAAGGACAACCACATCTAGAGCATTTACTGTGAGCCGACTCCACAGGGCAGGGTAGCAGAAGCACCCCCGACGAGGCCTCCCTCTGCCCTCCAAATCTTAGCTGGTCTACTCTGCTCCACCTCTGGACTCCACCCATTGCTACTTCTTCCACTGTCTTGGAGGCTGCTGCACGGACCCAGGAGACCCCGATGGGGGCCCGGCCCAGCCCTCCTCCCAGCCACAAGGGCCTTTCTAAAACGCCATGAGATTGCCTGGCTCCACTTGCTGGTTCTGTTGCCCTGGGCATAGAGGATCAGATCTGCACCCAAATCAACTGTAAAGTGCCTTGAAGGCAGGAAGCAGAAGCAGAGACTTAAAAACATTGAAGGAAAGACCTGTGAAGCCCTCCCACAACCCACCCCAACTCCATCTTCTTCTACCCACACAGAACAAATCTGCTGCAAACCTACCCCGCTCTCCATGGCTTTTGACAACTGAGTCTCTGCGCGTGTGCGTTGCCTGCCATCTGCAAGATGCTTTTGGTGTTCATCTGGCCAATGACACAGCCTTCCAAACTCATCTTGGACATCCCCGCCCCATCTCCACACCCCACTCCCCGTTCAAGGCCCTGCCCAGAGGCCCCACAGCTCCTGTGCCTTCCCCAGCAGGGCGTTTCCCACCTGGGTCATGGTTCAAGGTCCTGCATCACTGTCCCTCCCCAGCCCACCCCCACCAAATAGCAGGTGCTCCAAGAACAGAGACCACAAGCTGCCCTGGCACACAGGAGGCGCTCAGTCAAGGCTGAATATATAACCCGGATAAACACATCGTGCTCACTGTGGGCTAGGCAAGGTGCCCAGGGCTTTTACTATATTAGTATCTCATTTAGTCCTCGCCAACCACCTGGGTAGCTGTATTCCTTACAGACAGGCAGAGAAAGGGAGGCTGTTCAGCTGATGTGGCAGAGGCAGGATTCAGGCTCAGTTGGGCCAAGCACTTCACTACTGGACCTCACTTCTAGCTACAGGCAAAGACCTTGTGCATGGTGGGAGAGGCTCAGTGGCTCCTAACCAGGCCCTTGGGGGTTGGGGGCATGGACACAGCAGGGCAGGGAGCCTGGAGGGCTCTTAGGACCACCCACTGTCCTGATGGCCTATCTGGGCGTCTGCCCTCATGGCTGGGAACCAGCACGCGGGACCCAGATGCTAGCCAGAGCCTGCTCTCAGCTTCCGGGTGGCCCCGTCTGGGCTGCCACTGCATCTGGGGTGGGAAACAACAGATTGTGTATTTCCCTCTTAGAGATGCTGATTGTGTCTGCTTGGAAGTCAGTGGTTCCAGAAGATAATATGGAAATCGTGGTCTGCTCTTGAGAGACAGGGAAGAAGGAAGTTTCAACATGGCCCTGCCCTGGGGCTGGTTGGACAGAATCCAGGCTGGCTCCTGCTCGCTGCCTGGGGAGCCCATCCAGCCCCCTTGTCCAGGGGTGCCTGCAGGCAGACATGGGAGTGAGGCCCCACTAGGAGGACAAAACGTGCCACAGCAAGCCAGGGAGACTGCATTCTTCAGTTGAGACCATCCTCGGAGTCTAGTTTCATGGCTACCAAAGGTAGTGGGCAGGTCCCAGACCTCCTGCCAAGGGCAGGTGGGCAGGCAGGCAGGCATCTCTCCTCCACCTAGAGGATCATTAAGCCCTGCCCAGAGTCACAGGAAGCATTCATTCCCCTGGGAATTGGGCTGTTCTGTAAACCCAGGCCTGTTTCTACAAGGAGCTTCCTCCATGGAGAACCCACGCAGGTTCATACCAGGCCAGAGTCTCCCTCCTGGCCCGCTGACATGGTTCTGCTCTCAGATCCAGGGCCCAGTGTGCCTGACAAGAACAGAAATCCTCACTACTCTTACCTCCCAAACAGGTTAAGCTCGCTTTGAAGTGAGGTCTAGATAACTCTGCTAACTCCGCAAATTGCGTGACTACCTGGGAGCACTGCCCGAGGTCATCCGGCCAAAAGTGCAGCAGGCGCTTGTTCTTCCAGTGCAGCCCTGGCTCTCTTCTCAGGGCCTGCCCAGCAGAAGTGCACCCTCAGCCCCACCTCCTAGGCCTGGGCAATGAGTTACTCTGGTTTCTGAGTCATCCCTCAAGTTCTGTTGTCAGCAAGGGCCTTGTTTACTCCAGGATGGCCAGCAGCTGCCTAAAGTTCCTCAAGCCTATTTGGGGGAGCCCTCCATCAACTTTGGCACTCCTGCAGGAGTGCGCTGAGACTGGACTTCTTGCCATGATTCAACACATAGGTAGGAAAACCCCGTTCCTAAATAAGCCCTGACATCTGAGGCTAATTGACTTCACTGAACTACAAATAAAAAAGGGCTTCAAATGCCCAGGAACCAGCCTCTTTATATGAAAAGGTGGACCGAGCCCACCGTTGCCTGAAACAGCACCTGGTGTCTAGAATACAGTCAGCCCTCCTTATACGTGGCTTCTGCAACAGTAGATTCAACCAAAGGAGGATCAAAAATATTCAGGAAAAAAAAAAAGCTGCATTGGTATGAAACATGTAGACTTTTTTCCTTGTCATTATTTGCTAAACAACGCAGTATAATGGCTATTTACAAAGCATGTATATTGTATTAGGCGTTATAAGTAATCTAGAGATGGTTTAAAGTATACAGGAGGATTGCATAGGTTATATGCAAATACTATTCCATTTTATATAAGGAATGCAAGCTTCTGTGGATTTTGCTAGCCACTGAAGGGCCTCAAACGAATCCCCACAGATCCAAAAAAGTGACTTAATCTCTCTTCAGGATGTGGTTGCTTTGGGACCACCTATGGACAAAAGTCACTCACATGTAAAATAAATGTTTCCTGCAAAAAAATGGTGATGGGCTGGGCGCGGTGGCTCACATCTGTAATCCCAGCACTTTGAGAGGCCGAGGCAGGCAGATCACTTGAGCTCAGGAGTTCAAGACCAGCCTGAGCAACATGGCAAAACCCTATCTCTACAAAAAATACAAAGAGTTAACCAGGTGTGGTGGCATGCACCTGTGGTCCCGGCTACTCAGGAGGATCACTTGAGCCCGGGAAGCAAAGGCTGCCATGAGCTGCGAACGCACCTCTGCATTCCAGCCTGGGTGACAGAGTGAGACCCTGTCTCAAAAAAAAAAAAAAAAAAGGCCGGGTGCGGTGGCTCAAGCCTGTAATCCCAGCACTTTGGGAGGCCGAGACGGGCGGATCACGAGGTCAGGAGATCGAGACCACCCTGGCTAACACGGTGAAACCCCGTCTCTACTAAAAAATACAAAAAACTAGCCGGGCGAGGTGGCGGGCACCTGTAGTCCCAGCTACTCGGGAGGCTGAGGCAGGAGAATGGCATAAACCCGGGAGGCGGAGCTTGCAGTGAGCTGAGATCCGGCCACTGCACCACAGCCTGGGCGACAGAGCAAGACTCTGTCTCAAAAAAAAAAAAAAAAAAAAGGTGACAGTGTAAATATTTAATCACGTGGAAAGACAGTCACCTTGATCAATGAAAGGTTCAGGGTTTGGAATAGTGTGTAGAGACCTGTGCCATTTCTGCGGCAAATAGATATTATGCATGCAATTATTTACACCTATACATTTACAGAGAAAAAAATAATGTTTTTGCATAAACCAAATGCTGACAATGGTGATCTCCAGGAAACTGGATTTGGTGTGATTTTAATTTTATCTTTTAATCTGTATTTTAGAATTCTTTTCTTTTTGAGACAGGGTTTTGCTCTTGTTGCCCAGGCTGGAGTGCAATAGTACGACCTCGGCTCACCACAACCTCTGTCTCCCGGGTTCAAGCAATTCTCCTGCCTCAGCTTCAGAGTTACTGGGATTACAGGCATGCACCACCACGCCCAGCTAATTTTGTATTTTTAGTAGACATGGGGTTTCTCCATGTTGGTCAAGCTGGTCTTGAACTCCTGACCTCAGGTGATCCACCACCTTGGCCTCCCCAAGTGCTGGGATTACAGGCATCAGCCCCCATGCCCGGCCATTTTAGAATTTTTCTAAATTGAGGAAGGATTATTTTTAAAACGTAGCTTTAAAGATGTTTATACTAAAGATCATTTTAGTAATAATTATGTAATGCATAAGTATAATGTAATAAAAATAACCAAGGTCTGCTACTCCAGAAACTACATTTTCATCTACAGTCTACTCTCCTATAGCTTTGGCTTTACCAGTTCTGATGGAGCTGAGGCAAGGGGGTAGTTTTTTTTTTGAGACGGAGTCTCGCTTTGTCGCCCAGGCTGGAGTGCAGTGAAACCATCTCGGCTCACTGCAAGCTCCGCCTCCCGGGTTCCTGCCATTCTCCTGCCTCAGCCTCCAAGTAGCTGGGACTACAGGCGCCCGCCACCTTGCCCGGCTAATTTTTTGTATTTTTAGTAGAGACGGGGTTTCACCGTGTTAGCCAGGATGGTCCCGATCTCCTGACCTCGTGATCCTCCCGCCTCGGCCTCCCAAAGTGCTGGGATTACAGGCGTGAGCCACCGCGCCCGGCAAGGGGGTAGTTTTTAAATAAGCACCAGGTGTGAGAAGAATTCTGTTGCAGCTGCTGACGCCAGCAGGGATGGGTGGGAGAAGAGGGCGGCCCCCACCCATGGCAGCAGCCTGCCATCCCTCTGTCTGAGATGAATTTTATAAGCTTCCTGCTTGGGCAAAGGTTGTCCCAGCTTGTGGTTCCCACCCCTTAAATAAATTCCCATGCTGGTGTTATCTTCGGACTTTCCTATGGGCAAAGCACTTAATGGGTGAGGCAGAGTGAGGCCAGACGGATACTCTCCTTCCAAACCTACAAAAGCCAGAGGAGCACCGGGACTACCAGCTCTTACCAAACCTTGAAAAGCCAGAACAGCACCAGGACCCCCAGCTCTTACCCTGCAGTCCATGCTCAGTATGTGCTGAGCGATGACCTTGGGGTCGTTGTTGGTGAACAGTTCCTTTGCACGTTTCAACATTGCTGTTTCCAGGGGCTTATTCTCAGGGGGAAGGAACTTGGACTCAAAGTCATTGGGCCTGAAGGAGGAGACAGTCTCCAGGAGGGGCGCCACAAACTCGCCCTTGTCCCACTGCCCCTTCTCCGTCTGAGCTGCCGCAGGTTCCCAAGGTCTTTCCCTGTCATCATCATCAAGGATCAAGTAGTTGATGCCAGAGTTCCGGGGACCTAGTGCCCCATTCTGCTTGGCTGTGAGCAGTTCTGTGGGGCTTCCCTGGGCACATAAAGGTAGCTTTGCTCCCCTGCCTGTGGCAAACGCTGGGTTCAGTTCACAGTAGTTGGCCTCTGAGTTGAGCCAGGCAGAGGGAGATGAGGGAGCCTTGAGGAACGGCACCTTGCAGGGCTTAGGAGGTGGCTTAGGGCACAGTTGACTGTCTGATCCCCTCAGCGCCTCCCCAGCCCTGGCGTCCGAGGAGACCCTCCGAACAACTGCTGGGCTCAGGGCGGGCTCGCTTCCCGTCCTGAACACGGGTGAGTTTGGGCAGGGGCTTGTGTCCACACCTGAGGACTGAGGTGGCAGCTTGCAGCCTGTGGGGGATAAGAAAAGGTCAGAGAAAGCTCATCTGTGTGGAGAATATAAAACAAACAGAACCAGAGCGGCGGCGGCCCGGCCCTCCGTTCATGCCCGTGGGTTTCAATTTTCATTTTCATTTCCAAAAGAAGTCAGTGTGACTGTCCCACGCCCAATCTCACGGAGTCTACAGCGTTGTGAGGGCTGGGCTGGGCTGGCCCCATCCCACACTCCTGGGTACAATTTGGAATCCCGGGGACTGCTGACACCTGGGCTACAAACGTTGTTGTATGGTCATAGAAGGCTTGGACAGTCAGAATGATAAAGTATATGAGTGAGGAGGGCACGAATAATGTAATCTTGCCCTAAGAAACAGAAGTTGTTAGCCACCTAAAACGCCACTGTCAAAGGATGGATCCCAGCCAGCTTCCAAGGGAGAGCTGGAGACAGGGAAGGGAGAAAAGGCATTGGGGTAACCCACATGGAAGTAGTTTATGCAGGGGTATTAGGAAAATCCCTTTGTGGTCCCAGGGAAAGTCAGTTATGAAAATGATGAAAAACAACCCCCCGTCCTACAAATGTAACTGCTTGGTAGGTCTCCCCACACCCCATACCTTATCCCTCTTCCGGCCTTGAAAGCAGAATGGAGAGGAAGCGGAGTTGGCCTGGACAGCTGTTCTGCCAAAAGCCCCAGGATCCACCCACCCACCCGGGAAAAGGGAGTAGGCTCATTTGTCATGAAGTCTACCAGTTTTCAAATGGGCTTGAATCAGAAAACCTGGGTTCAAATGCTGGGTGATTCTGGACAAGTTACTTAACCTGTCTGTGCCTCAGTTTCCTCAGCTGTCAAATGGCAATAATCATGCCTACTCTGAAGGCTTGCTACTAGGCCTAAAAGCTGGCATACAGTGTCTAGCTCAGCGCTTCCCAGCTGGATATAATTCTGCAAACCCATTCCCCTTCAGGCTGCAAGCTGAGGCAAGTGTCGGTTTCAAATGAGATGACTAGATGGGGCAGGGTAACAGCTTGAAGGAAACCAGGGTCACAATGACGTTCTCCCTGAAAATTCCCCGAAACATACCAATCGGCAGGTAGCTCTCTGACTGGTGGGCTTTGAGGGACAAGGCTCTTCTGTCCTGCATGTGATCCAGGCAGGCTGGCTGGCTACCACTCTTTTCTTTGTTTCTGAAGCAAAAGACAAATAGGACGGAAACATGTATTAAAGTGTAAACTAAAACCTTTAGGCAATGCCATGGGAACTTAAACAAAAAAAAAAAAACAGAAAACTGCTCGGAACGAGAATGCTACAGCATACCCTAAAAGTATAGGAATGTCTGCTGGAGAAACAAATTACTGATGGGGTGATTAATATATGACTGCGTGTGCTCCATCCCCCTGTCCCCATGACCAATGCAGCTAAGTCCTAGGATGCCTCCCCTGGGCCGTTCCATCCTGTTGAACAGAGTAGGGTAAAAGTTTTACGATACTCCCCGGGAAAATCTGATGAACTGGAATGTGGACTTTTAACAGAGCCCAAAATTACTTACAGGCCCGGAGGGAATGGCTTGCCTAACTAACATGCATTTTCCACATGCTCCACAGTGTTACAGTTAGGAAGGAAGCTGTGGGGAAACTTCCATTTTGGTGCAAATCTCAGCATCCCCCAAATAACCTGCAGGACTGCCTGGGGAGGCTGCCATCCCCAACCTCCTGGCTGCTCTGGGGGGACCCCCCACACAGCCTCCTCCTGCTGAGCTGGGAAAGGCACCGCCATGGTCACCAAGCAGCAGTTGGGAGGCATGCTGCGTAACCACACAAGGAAAAGGTGGAAGGTAACTTTCAACACACTCGCTGTTATTCCTTCTGTCCCTTTCCAACTCAAATTGGGAATTTTTCCAGCACCAAGCACCAGAATCTCCCTAGCTAGAGACGGAGGCACTGCACCAGCCAAGTTGTCATGAACTCTAATTGGCCTTCCCATAAGCACAAAACATTCTTATGTTACAGAAATCATGAAGTTCTTTCCTACCTTTACAAGCACCAAAGAAAAAACAAATCAAAACACCCCCAAACTCCGAGCAACAGGGAAATTCCAGCAACCTTTCGAAGATAAGGCAAGACCGAGGGCAGATTACAAAAGGAAATGACTCCTGAGAAGTGATATTGAAGTAGTGACCACTGCGGCTGGACTCCAGGGGCCAGAACGGCAGGGCTTGGAATGCAACCTGCCTGTGAACACACACCTTTGCCCAGGGCAGGCCACCAGCCAGCCAACTAGCAGGACCCACGTCAGGGCAGGTGGCACCTGGCCAGAGCTGCATAAGGGAGCCAGCCACTGAAGGACCTTGGGGCAGGGCAGCAGGCCATAGGCCATCTTCTCCCCTCCTCCCACTTAAACATTTCTGGGCGTGCTGCCTGTACAAAGTGGTGACAAGTTCTAGGAGGATCTGCATTCCAAAGGGCACACAGAAAAGTGGCTCTATTAGGCCTGACTTGTTGACTTAGAGACTTTCTTAGTCTTTTTTTCATTTCTTATCTTAGAAAGTTTTTAAACTAGGCTCATTCAGGGCCAACTAGAAGGCCTTCCCCACAGCAGTGGTTCTGTTATCTTGCCAAATACACTCCCACTCTGTGCATGACATTAATTCCCTGTTTCAACCATTCAGCAGCCAATCCCTCCCAAAGGAAAGAGAAGAAAACGTACCCCTTGTAACACTGTAGGGGATCTCAAGTCCAATCCTATTACTATGAAAAGGAGGATTTCTAAATATCAGATCTTGCCTCCCTCCTTGCAATTGCCCTGATTTTTTGTTTGTTTGTTTTGAGACAGGGTCTCGCTCTGTTGCCCAGGCTGCAGTGTAGTGACATGGTCATGGCTCACCGCAACTTCAACCTCCCAGGCTCAAGCAATCCTCCCACCTCAGCCTCTCAAATAGCTGGGACCACAGGCACATACCACCACGCCCATCTAATTTTTATATTTAAAACAACTTTGTGGATACATAGGTGTATATATTTGTGGAGTACATGAGATCTTTTGATACAGGCATTCAATGTGAAATAAGCACATCATGGCGAATGGGGTATCCACACCCTCAAGCATTTATCCTTTGAGTTACAAACAATCCAATTACACTCTTTATTTTAAAATATATAATTAAGTTGTTTTGACTATAGTCACCCTATTGTGTTATCAAATAGGTCTGATTCTTTCCAAATTTTTTTGTACCCATTAACCATCCCCACCTCCCTCCCACCCCTGACTCCCTACCCACTACTACTCTTCCCAGGCTCTGCTAACCATCCTTTTTTTTTTTTTTTTGAGACAGTTTCACTCTTGTTGCCCAGGCTGGAGTGCAATGGCGTGGTCTTGGCTCACCGCAACCTCTGCCTCCCAGGTTCTGGTTCAAGCAGTTCTCCTGCCTCAGCCTCCTGAGTAGCTGGGATTACAGGCACGCACCACCATGCCCAGCTAATTTTTGTATTTTTAGTACAGATGGGGTTTTACCATGTTGGCCAGGCTGGTCTCGAACTCCTGACCTCATGATCCACCCGCCTCGGCCTCCCAAACTGCTGGGATTACAGGTGTGAGCCACCGCATCCGGCCCACCATACTTCTACTCTCTGTGTCCAAGAATTAAATTGTTTTGACTTTTTGATCCCACAGATAAGAGAGAACATGTGATGTTTGTCTTTCTGTGCCTGGCTTATTTCACTTAACATAATGATCTCCAATTCCATCCATGTGGTTGCAAATGACAGGATCTCATTTTTTTATGGCTGAATAGTACTCCACTGTGTATACGCACATTTCCTTTATCTGTTCAGCTGTTGATGGACACTTAGGCTGCTTCCCAATCTGAGCTATTGTAAACAGTGCTGCAACAAACATAGTGCAGGTTATCTCTTTGATATATCTCTTTGATTTCCACTCTTCTGGGTATATACCCAGCAGTGGGATTGCTGGATCATATAGTAGCTCAATTTTTAGTTTTCTGAGGAACCTCCAAACTGTTCTCCATGGTGGCTGTACTAATTTACATTCCCACCAACAGTGTAAGACGGTTCCCTTTTCTCCACAATCCTCACCAGCATTTGTTATTACCCGTCTTTTGGATATAGGCCTTTTTAACTGGGGTAAGGTGATATCCGTTATAGTTTTGATTTACATTTCTCTGATGACCATGTTGAGCACCTTTTCATATGCCTGTTTGCCACTGCAGCGGCATGATCTCGGCTCACTGCCTCCTGAGTTCAAGCAATTCTCCTCCCTAATAGCTGGGACTACAGGCATGCACCACCACACCTGGCTAATTTTTGCATTTTTAGTAGAGATGGAGTTTCTCCATGTTGGCCAGGTTGGTCTTGAACTCCTGACCTCAGGTAATCCACCTGCCTCAGCCTCCCGAAGTGCTGGGATTACAGGCGTGAGCCACCGTGCCCAGCCCATTTGTATGTCTTCTTTTGAGAAATACCCATTTCTCAAAAGAGCAAATCTTTTGCCCATTTTTAAAATCAGATTATTAGATTTTTTCCTATAGAGTTGTTTGAACTCCTTATATTAATTTTCATATTTTTTGTAGAGACGGGGTTATGCCATGTGGCCCAAGCTGGTCTCGAACTCCGGAGCTCAGGCAATCTGCCCACCTTATTCTCCCAAAGTGCTGGGATTACAGTTGTGAGCCACTGTGCTGGGTCTGAGTCTGACATTCTGCTCCCCTCCAGATAATAATTATCACGAGTATTTCCCTAGCATCTCCTATGTGCCTGCACTGTTCTGAGCACTTTGCATATATTAAATCATGTACACCTCACAAGCTCCATCTTTCCAGATAAAGAAGGTGAGGCCCAGGAAGGTCAAGTCGCTTGCCTATGGTTGAACAGTTGCCCAGTGTGGAACCAGCATTTGTGCCTGGCTACCAGGTCCCCAGCCAGATGCTGACTAGCATGTGCCAGAGCCTCCAGGCAGCACACAGCTGTCATCTGCATTCCACACAGAGTCCTGTATTTTCCTCCCGAAGTTTTGCAGTATAGAAATGACAGTTTGTGACATTTCCTCATGGACCAAAAAGAAAACCAGTGAGTAGAATAAAACATGTTGGTTTACGAGCATAAGATTAGAAGCTGGGAGACGGCTCAGGCTGCTGTGTGACTGAGGGGCTGGACTGGATCTGTGTTCTTATGCCTGCCTTTTCTCTCGTTTCCTTTCCCAGTGCTTTTAGATAATATGCACAAAGACTCTGAGCTCCATGAAAGATCGGCCCTATACAAATGCAGCCCACCATCGCTGACATTTGACAGCTGGGTGCCTAGGATCAGGGAGGCCTGATTTGAAGCCCTGATTTTCCACCAAGTGCCCCGAATCCTTCTCTTCCCCCATTCCCTGCGATTCAGAATACAGCCCCATGCTCTCTGCATCTCCTATCTTAGACATCTCATCTGTTCTCATCAAGTGAACCACCCTTTCCATGTGGACCAAGCCCTAATTTAAGTTTTCAGCCCTAACTCATCGCCTGGACCCCAAAACTGCTGCTGGACTCTGGCACTCAACAAAACCACATCTTCCAGCTCAGATGAAAAAGTGTGTTTTGGCTGGGTGCGGTGGCTCAAGCCTGTAATCCCAGCACTTTGGGAGGCCGAGACGGGCGGATCACGAGGTCAGATCGAGACCATCCTGGCTAACACGGTGAAACCCCGTCTCTACTAAAAATACAAAAAATTAGCCGGGCGAGGTGGCGGGCGCCTGTAGTCCCAGCTACCCGGAGGCTGAGGCAGGAGAATGGCGGGAACCCGGAAGGCGGAGCTTGCAGTGAGCTGAGATCCGGCCACTGCACTCCAGCCTGGGCGACAGAGCGAGACTCCATCTCAAAAAAAAAAAAAAAAAAAAGTGTGTTTTATCCTCCACAGTGCCCTTCCTCCTGGTCACTCCTGTGGTCTCCAATGTGCCCTCCTCTGACTCTACCACGTGCAGAAGAGTCCTGGGAGGCCAGGCTCCTGCATCTCTCAACTCTCCCTTCGTTCCACTCCTGCAGCCAGGGCCCTCCATGACTCAGTAACTGGGTTTCCTGTTCCTGTCTCACTCCTCGCCCCCAGTACATCGCTGTCCATTTCTATTCTTAGGACACCGTGTTCACTATGCTGAATCTGTGCAGCTCCCTCAAAGCCCTGCACCTGGCATTAAGGCCCCCATGATATGGCTGGGGCTACCTCCCTAAGCCGACTGCTACGGGTCCCTTGCACAGACCCTTTGTTCCAGCCCCATCAGCACACTCACTGCAAGCTCTTCGTGGCATTTTCTGTCCCCACACTTATGCCCATGCTGTGCCTCCCACCTGGAACACCCCCTGCCTTTTACAGCATCTATCCAAATATCCCCCAGCCATCAGACCAGCCTAAGCCTACCCCCTTCACAAGGTCTCCCCTGTAAGTGCCCCCACAATCCTTCCTCAGCTCCTGTACCATTCATTGCTGGCCCTGCTCGGCTAGGAGCTGATCGTGCACTGCCTCATGACTGCTATTCCGCGAACAGTCAGCATTCCTATTAACATCTTTTATTTCTCTGTTCCATGATGAATTCTTCATCTGCCTAACTAACCTTGGGCACCCCCGGCGCCCCTCATAGTCCTGAGGAGGAGACCCTGACCTACCTGAGGAGGTTTCCCCTGGGCAAATTCTGCTCTCGGGCCTGGACACCACCCATGGTGAGGCTCAGCCTCTTGGTCACGTCTGGCCTTCCCTCGGTGAGGCTGCCCTCCCGGGCCTGGCCTGGGGAGATGCCATAACGCTCCTCCAGGCACCGCAGGGGCACCGTCCTGTTGATGGGCTGGAAGATGATGGCGCCACTCTGCTGGGAGATGGGCCGGCGGTTGCCCACGTAGCAGCGCACCAGGCCAGGGATGGAGTCGAAGCTCTCCATCTCGAACTGGTACTGCACGCGGCTGTAGGCCTCGCTGAGCCGCAGAACCGTCCGGTTGATTTTGAAGTGCTGAGCGAGGTTCTTCCACTGACAGGTCAGGACAAAGTTCCCAGGGCTGGACAGAGAGTCACGAACTAGGAAGTCGCCATCTCGCTGCACAAGGTTTTCCGACACCTTTGGGACAAAAAGGTGAGTGAGGGGTAGGAAAGGCAAATTCACATTCCTTCTAAAAGCTTATGGCTACCCACTTCTCTGGGCCAACAGAAGACAATGCTACTATGTCTCTTCTTGGGCCAGTTATTTAGTTTTTCAAATACCAAATTCATAGGAGATCCAATCATTCATTCAAGAACTGTTCATTGACCACCTACTCGTGCCAAGAACCACTGCAGGCTCAGGGGATGCGGTGGTGACAGCGGCACCGAAGAGCCCAGCTCATGGAGCTCCTGGTTTTGATGGGAGCTTCTGTTTGAGTGAGGATAAATAACCAACAGCTATGCACGCCAGTTGTAAGCTCAGGGAAAAAGTGAACCAGGAAAGGAGGCAGGGAGTGCTGGGGAGGGGATGAGGGCTGTCCAGTAAAATAGGGTGGTTGGGGAGGTGTCACAAGAACATGATGTTTATACAGACCTGAATGACGTAATGCAACAGGAAATAAGAAATGAGAAAACGTGTGCCTGGCAGGCCTGATTTTCCCTCCCCAACAAGTGGAGTGAGGAGAAAGAAGGTATTTGTTGGTGTCCAGAAGTCGTCCTCGGGGCCCTCTCCTAAGATGCCCCTCTCCAGGCCTGGCCAGTGGGGAGGAGGACTCTGCATGCAGGACTAGGGCATGGATTCTGGACACACCAATTACTGGCTAGGAGGCCTGGAACAAAGTCAGGCTGGGGTCCATCTTACAGTTACTATGAGGGTTATGTATTTGTATACATAACATATGCAAGCGCTGGAACACGGTGGATGCTCAAAAATAGTTAACCAGCATGATGCTGCTGCTTATAGCAACTGAAGAATTTATAATGTGGTACAGCCTGGCTGTTCCTGTAGCCTGACCACCTGGGTTTGCATCCTGGCTCAGCTGTATGACTCTGGACAAATTACATAATCTCTTTGTGGCTCACTTACATCATCTGAAAAACACAAATGATGATATTACCTACGGAATGGCTATAAAGATTTAAGGGGCTAAAATGTTAGCAATAACTTGTTATTATGGTTATGGTTATAGTGTTCAGTTATCCAGTTTGGAACGATTTATCACTGAAAATTAATACTCATGGCTAGTAATAAACAAATTTGATGACCATGATAAGGAGACGGACAGTGGTGATAGTCATCAGTTTTATAATTCTGACAATTTTTCTGGGACATTCCAATATTTGATCAACAGTATACTTCTGCTAGCTCAAAAGAGTAGGCTACCATGGTTACTTTAAAATTGCATCTTTGCCTTAAAAATGTTTTCACATAGAAATTTCATTTCTTAGAATTGAGCCTGTGAAAATAATTGTAGGTATGAACATAGCAATCATAAAGGATGTTGGTCAAAGTATTAGAAACACTCTACGTGTCCAATAAATTGTGGTGCATGCATACCGTGGACAGACATACAACATAGTCTGGTGCAGAAGAATATTCTACAGTGGGTGAAAATTCCCAGGACACAGTGAGTGAGTAGAATGGGCTACCAAAAAAGTATATGCAGTACGATCTCATACTTGATTTCAAAAAGCCTGGGGTGATGTCTGTACACAAAAGTATTCATCATGGTTATCCCCAGGAGAATTATGAGGAGAATTATGGATGAGTTTAATTTCCTTCTTTTTGCTATGTATATTTTCTACAATCAATTTTAAACTTAAAAAAAAGTCAGAATAATAATTATTTATTTGATTGTGCCAAGAAATCTGATACATTAAAAAAAAAAAAAAAAAAGCCTGGGCGCAGTGGTTTACGCCTATAATCCCAGCACTTTGAGAGGCCGAGGTGGGTGGATCACTTGAGGTCAGGAGTTCGAGACCAGCCTGGCCAACATGGTGAAACCCTGTCTCTACTAAAAATATAAAAATTAGCCGGGTGTGGTGGTGGACACCTGTAATCCCAGCTACTGGAGAGGCTGAGGCAGGAGAATCGCTTGAACCCAGGAGGCAGAGGTTACAGTGAGCTGAGATCGTGTTATTGCACTCCAGCCTGGGCGATAGAGTAAGACTCTGTCTCAAAAAAAACAAAAAACAAAAAAAAACTTAAGACATGATGCCCTTCCCCCCAGCCCCTGTCCACACATTTCCTGTCATGTTGTCCTTGGTTAATGATTGGCCAGGTCAGGTTTACAATAAAAACCCAAGGGAAATTCTATGCCTCAATTCTGCAGACTTACTCTATTTTTCAATTTTTACAGTATTAAATGAAAAAACATTATTCATGGCAATCACCCAAATGACGATCGCACAGTATATTCTGGGCCACGAGTCTGTGGTCATGGGTTTAATTCCCCTTCTTCCCCACCTCTGGTCACGGGATCCAGCAGGGAAGCCATGGAGAGTGTGAATAACTGCCAGCTCACCGGGCCAGAGGCAGCCTTGTTGGTCTGGGCCACCGCCCTCTCTCCTCCCGAAGCTAAGCCACTGCCTTGAGAAGGAGGGGCTGCAAAATGGTCTGAGGCTGCTGGCAGCTGGCCAAGAGCTCAATTACCTGGGCCATACCCCGCCCTCTTAGTTCTTCCGGTTGCTGACCCTGTGGCTGCTGCCTCCCACAGCTCTGTCCTTGCAGACCCCAGGAGTGCTGGCTGTCCCTCTACTTCCTGAACATGTGGATGTGTGCTTTGGGTTCTTGACCTCAGCTCTTCCCAAGGTCTTCTTAGAGAAGGGTCTAAATGAAGCCATTTTTAGAGTATCTGTTTTTGGTTACACAGGAGCTTCCTCCCATGTGGCCTCGAAGTGGGGCCCTGCAGATCATCAGTCTGTATGTTGCCTGAGAGCAGCCCTGTGTGTGCTGGAAGGGACAAGACCAGGTACCTGTCGGGGGATGCGGCCGTGGTACCAGGCATGGCTGCGCAGGTCCTCGCTGCTCAGCAGCAGCTCCTCCTCCAGCTCCTTCTTCAGCTTCTCGGGGGTCCTGTCCATGATGTGCCTCTCCTTGGAGAACTGCAACACAGAGTCAACCATGAGCTCACCCTGCCCAGGCCACACCAGGCCATGCCAGCTGGAGGTGACCGCCTGCTTCACTAATCCAACCAGTTATGCTAAAGCCTGCGTTCAGGTAGGGGAGCCTAGATAATGATTACAAAGAGCTGTGACCTTTCGTTTCTCTGGCCGCAACCATGTAATAAAATTTTCACCTGCACATGGGGACTATGGTAGGAGAGTCCACCAAGAGGTTCCTTTGACCAGTCTACTCAAGCAGCTGGGCAGGAAGGGCCAGAGAGGTGAACAGGTGGCAAGACACAGCAGCCCAGGCTGCTCTCTTCCCAGCGGAGAGCTTCCTCATTCTCCTTCAGGACTGTCCTGACATAGCGTGGGGAGGGCAGCTGTTCCCTTCTGGCCTTAGATACTGGGCCTCTGGGCAGTGAGGCCCAAAGCAGAATCCTTGGGCTGGTAGCGATGGCCCTGACTTCTTTGCTGTTGGTAAACTCAAGTTCAGGAATTGAGTCCGTCTTTAGAAACTTTTAGGGCAAATGGACAGAGCAATTTTATGTCTCTTGAATCTAATAACAGAAGTCTATGTCTTCATTTCACGTTTCTAATATTTCATTTTTATGACAGATAGGAAACTGAAACAAGTTTAAAAAGACATCCCTGGTCCTTCACCTGAGATGTTTGAGAATCACTAGCCTGCGGCATTGCACAGTGGCCACGGCGGGGAGTGCTAGGTGGGCAGCAGTGGCTCCAGGTTTAATTTAGAGCCACGCCCACTTACAACATGTGAACTGAACCTGGAAACCTGCCCAGTTCCCAGCAAGACCAGGCTGGCTGACCAGGAACCGCTTGCTAAAGGTCCCATGAGCAGAAAAAGGCTGTGTCCCTGTGGTTTTCCCAAGTTTCCCAGCTTGCCTTTCAAACCCCCAAGGGAGCCACACGATTATTACTTATCACATCACTTTTTAAAAATGCTTATTTGTTTTACTTTTTTGAGACAGGGTCTTACTCTGTTGTCCAGGCTAGAACACAGTGGCGCAATCTCAGCTCACTGCAGCCTTGGCCTCCTGGGCTCCAGCGATCCTCCCACCTCAGCCTCTCTGGTAGCTAGGACTACAAGCACGTGCCACCATGCCTGGCTAACTTTTGTAATTTTTTTTTTTAGAGATAGGGTTTTGCCATGTTGCTCAGGCTGGTCTCAAACTCCTGGGCTCAAGCGATCCACCCACCTCGGCCTCTCAAAGTGCTGGGATTACAGGTGTGAGCCACTGTGCCTGGCCTATTATACTACTTTGCACCTCAGCAAAGAAATAGCTTCAAATTCTTTTCCACCACCCCCCAACCAAAAAAAAAACCCTGGAATTTTAGGGCTAGATTCTTATCCTCTAGTGTTTCTTTGCACACTGGCCCATGAGGCGAGTTAGCTGAAGAGTCACTCAGGGGCTGATTTTTAAACGGGGCCCTGGCTTACTATGTGTTTACTTCTCCCTCCTCCTCTTCTCACTGGGCAGACACTCACTGGGGAGTGTCTGAAGATGGAATTTGCATCAAAGAGATGCTGACGCTGGCTGTCCAGGGTGCCTACAGGCTTTAGATGGTGATGTTTGACACCGTCCGCTCCATTATTAATATTGTGCAGCTTCATCTGAAGACAGCTTGAGTGTGGAACGCAGGCTGTCAACCCGGCCACGCTTTACTGTTCTTTTATTGTCTGTCTTGCCTCCCACTAGACTGTAAGTTTCATGAAAACAGAAATCCATTTACTTTTTCCCCATCGCCCTTGAGCAATGCCTGAAAACATCAGGCACTGGGTATGTAGTAAACAAATACCCCAGGATGAGAAAGATGCTGACTTTGCTTAGTTATGGAGATTCTCTCTTTCTCTCTCAAGTTATTTGAAGCCCTGTTTTCGCTGGGCATGCTGCCATTCAGCCAAAAGACCACATTCCTCAATCTCTGTCTCTTCCAGGGAGATGTGGCCACAGGACTCAGTTCTGACCAAGGAGCTGAGATGCGATGGCTGGAGCCTCAACACCATTCTGGACCATGAGTGGGGAGCCACACCTAGGAATGGCTGGGTGGAAGGTCTGATTGAGGCTGGGTCCCTGATGACTGTGGGGCCAACACACCAGCCCTGGGCCGCCAGCCTCCAGGTCTTCTAGGTGATCTACTTTACGGACACCTGTGATTGGTGGGTGTTCCCGTCACTGGCAGCTGAACTAAATCCTAACCCATATTGTGACCTGACCCCCATTGAGTCACCCTGACAGGCAGTCTGCAGGCTTAGCCTAAATCCCTTGTGCTGCACCCTGGGCCCACTTTTTGGTCTGAGCTCTGAAAATGTGGAGATCTGAAAACATACAGCAGGTCTTGCATGGTTCTTTATTGAAAATTTATTTGCTTATATCCAAGAAGCTATTTCCATATTTATCTTTGCATTTTCCTTCCTCCCTGATGTCCTAACACTCAGCCACCTCTCCCTCTCCCCGGCTCCCTTCTCAGCTCTGCTCATAACTGCAAGGCTTATTATCATTTTTTTTTTTTAGCACTTTATATGCATCAATCTTTTATTCCAGGTTTTGAGATAATGCTTTTAAACTAGTTAAAAAAAATATAAAATCAACTACCTTGCTACTTCTGTCCATATTACTAACAGAAGAACAGAAAAATTCTAAATTATTGTTCTTTCCCCCTGTAGACTCCAGAGAGGGAATCCTACAGGGTACTATAGGAGGTAGGGTACTAGGAAAGTACCTAGAGAGAGAGAAATGAAGATTTTAAGATTGATGCTCTCAAATAATTTGGAATGAAAGACCAGACTTCAAAAAGTATGCCCTTAAGCTCTTGCATAATTTATGAAAAGTTTGAAGGTTACACAACTGCCTAGACTTGTATTTTAAAAGGGAAGGAGGGAAAGAGAGAGGGAAGAAAATGAGAGGGAGAGAGGGAGGGAGAGAGGGAAACCCAGAGTGAACAAGCAATTGCAAAAGGCTTTCCATTTCCAGCCAGTGAGGGCTGGCTCGAATATACTGCAGGGAGCCATGTGTGCTGCTGGGCGCCTCTGCCTTAGCAGATGATGTAGACAAGTCTGCCAGACAACTGAAGAAAGCAATTCAAAAGGATCACCCCATATGCCCACCTCATGATTAAATAGTGGTTATTTTGGGAGTGGAAACCTTCTAGAACTTTCACTACTGCCTTTGTCACATATATTAATGCAATTATTTTTCCCAGCTGCCTGTATTTTATGAGATCTGGATCTCCCAACTGGGATTTTGCCACTATAGATAAGTATTTTGATGGACTGTAAACCCCACAGGTTAGTGAGAGGTGACGATATAACAAATTGTGGCAAAATGTATCCATCTGTATTTCTGAGAACATTGTGATTGATATCTGTGCTTCTTGGGGACCAGAAATGAGATTCCTGCTTCATAGGACTGGTCATGCATGTCTGTAACATTTGGCAGAATTCTGTAGGCTTCCCACATACAACCTGAATTACTGGTGGCAGTGTCTCCTTCCACTTCTCTACTGCCATGTGGGAAGAATTTGGATTTCTCCCTGGAATGTAACCATTTTGTTCATGGCATAGGCTAGTTTTTGGGACTTGGCTATGAAGCAAATTCTAGCAATTTAAGGTAACACAACAGAGCCTCTGCCTTCAGCAAAGGTTTCATCCCCTCTGTGTGGCTATCGGTCTCCTCTAATTGATCTAATTTATTCTATGAATGCCCTAAGAATCCTCCTGCCCTTCCTCAGACTACTTTTCTAAGGGAAGGGCAGAAGAGATTAGTACTGTATTCACTCACATAATATTCACATGCATTGTTATTGTTTGCATAGCCCAGAATGATTTATGAGAAGAGACAGGATAAGGTGTCAGGTCCTAGGTATTCCAACTGCTTCCAATCTTGGAAAAATAGACACAAGCACATCGTTCAAATCCACCCCAGTTCCTACAGCCTTTTCTCCTAGCTCCTTTCCAGCTCTCTCACATTTGTAGACATCTTCTGAACTCAGTGTGCTTTAAGGACGGGCTGGACTCAAGTCATCCTCAATCCCTCTGTCAGCAAGGGACAGTAGGCATTGTGGCACCCAGAATGAGTAACACGGCTATGCTCTCTTAGAAAGCTGACACTGAGGCCGGGCGTGGTGGCTCAAGCCTGTAATCCCAGCACTTTGGGAGGCCGAGACGGGCGGATCACGAGGTCAGGAGATCGAGACCATCCTGGCTAACACGGTGAAACCCCCTCTCTACTAAGAAATACAAAAAACTAGCCGGGCGAGGTGGCGGGCGCCTGTAGTCCCAGCTACTCGAGAGGCTGAGGCAGGAGAATGGCATAAACCTGGGAGGCGGAGCTTGAAGTGAGCTGAGATCCGGCCACTGCACTCCAGCCTGGGCGACAGAGCGAGACTCCGTCTCAAAAAAAAAAAAAAAAAAAAAGAAAGAAAGAAAGCTGACATTGAATGTGAATGCAGGACTGTACATTTTCTTCAACTGCCAGGCAGAGCAAGATAACTTGTGAATAATCATTCGCTCACATAAATGCAATAAACGTTAATAATGATTACATTATCTAGTAATACAACTCTCCCTCCAAGATTAAATTCTCTAATATTTGCCCCTGAGTTTGAACCTCATTCCTAGAAGGCATCTGATTCCTTGTTTTTCCAGCGTTTTGTCTTGAAGGGAAGGAGGTGGCAGCAGAGGAGGAGTCAGAGAGACAAGGTTGGTTTTCGCTGCCTCAGCAGAGGCTCCAGCCATCCTGAGCTCACCCCACACAGCAGCTGTGGGCTCAGCCTCGGGAGGGAGGGATGCTGCTGGGCTTTGGATCAAGAACATTGTGCCCACAGGTCTTGCCAGCTTCACTCCAGGGACCAAATCCACCCACAACCGTGATGAGACCACAATGAGACAAATGTGCAGGCAGGGCCCATATCTTGTGCTTCAAGAAATTTGAGTAGTCCTTTTAGAGGGACAGGGAGAGTAAGATAAGGTACTATGT